CTCCAAAATGTTCCAGCCTTTCCTCTGCAAACCATGCTCTAGTGGACTTGGAGGTATGCTTGGGATCATTGTCCTGTTGAAAGGTCCAACGTCTCCCAAGCCTCAGGTGTGTGACGGACTGCATCACGTTTCCATCCAATATCTCCTGGTACTGAAGAGAATTCATGGTACCTTGCACACGCTGAAGCTTCCTGTACCTGCAGAAGCAAAACAGCCCCAAAGCATGATTGACCCTCCACCATGTTCACAGTAGGTGTTCTTTTCATCATAGGCCTTGTTCTTCCTCCTCCAAACATAGGTTGATCCATGGGCCCAAACAGTTTAATTTTGTTTCATCAGTCCACAGAACCCACTATCCCACAACTTTTGTGGTTTGTCCACAATGGCTTTTGGCATACTGCAGTCGAACTCTTCTTATTCTTTGGAGACAGCAAGGGGGTACGCCTGGGAGTTCTGGCACGGAGGCCTTCATTACGCAGTGTGCGTCTTATTGTCCTGGGCTGAAACTTCCCCACATCTGACAAATCTTTTCTCAGTTCCTCAGCAGTCACACGGGGACTTCTCTCCACTCTACGCTTCAGGTAGCGCACAGCAGTCGAAGAGCATCTTCTTTCTGCCACGACCAGGTAGCGTTTCAACAGTGCCCTTTGCCTTGAATTTGCGAATGATGCTTCCTAAGGTGTCTCTTGGTATGTTTAACATCTTTGCAATCTTCTTATAGCCATTGCCCTTCCTGTGAAGAGAAATCACCTCTTCTCTTGTCTTCCTGGAATTCTCTTGCCTTCACCATGTTTGTAACCACACCAGTAAATGTCTAGAAGGAGCTGAGTATCACAGTCATTTTAAAGCTGCCTAATTGGTGCTTATTATGCTTGATTGCTGCTCGGTGACATCCACAGGTGTTTTCAATACCTGATGGAAAGCACCTGTATGAACCTCTGTTCTTCAGAGATTGTGGCAATGAAGAAACCACATAAGAACCATTTACTACTGTATTACATAAACATTGATGTCATTTTAGTTGCATTTGGGTAGTTACAACGTCCTTGTAGGATTTGATTCTGAATACAATTCCAAATGTACACTATATCCCTAAACCCCTTTACAGATTGGGGGTTGAATAAGACACAACTGTAGCAACATTAGGAGTGGCCAAATCAACAGTTCGGTACATTCTGAGGAAAGAAGAATGCACTGGTGAGCTCAACAACATAAAAAAGGCATGGACGTCCACAGAAAATAACAGTGGTGGATGATCGCAGGATCCTCTCTATGGTAAAGAAAAACCCATTCACAACATCCAGACAAGTGAAGGACACTCTCCAGTAGGTGGGCGTATTCTTGTCAGTCTACAATCAAGAGAAGACTTCACAAGAACAAATAGAGGGTTCACCACAATGTGCAAACCATTCATAAGCCTGAAGAATAGAAAAGCCAGATTAGTCTTTGCCGAGAAACATCTAAAAAAGCCAGACCAGTTCTGGAAAAGCATAATTTTGGACAAATTAAACCAAGATTAATCTATACCAGAATGACAGTAAGAAAAAAGTGTGGAGAAGGCTTGGAACAGCTCATGATCCAAAGCACACACAACGTCATCTGTAAAACATGGTGGAGGCAGTGTGATGGCATGAGCATTCATGGCTTCCAGTGGCACTGGGTCATTGGTGTTTATTGATGACGTGACAGAAGCAGCCAAATGAATTCTGCAGTGTTTAGAGATATACTGTTAGCCCAGATTCAGCCAAATGCAGCAAAGTTGATTGGACGGCGCTTCACAGTACAGGTGGACAATGATCCAAAACACATTGCAAAAGTAACTCAGGAGCTTTTGAAGGAAAAGAAGTGGAATATTCTGCAATAGTCGAGTCAATCATATGATCTGAACCCCATTGAGCATGCATTTCACTTGCTGAAGGCAAAACTAAAGGCAGAAAGACCAACAAACAAAGAACAACTGAAGACAGCTGCAGTTAGAACCTGGCAAAACATAAGAAAGGAGAAAACCCAGTCTTTGGTAATGTCCATGGGTTTGAGACTTCAGCAGTCATTGCCAGTAAAGGATTCTCAACAAAATATTAAAAATGAACATTTTATTTATGATTATCTTCAATTATCCAATTACTTTTGGTCCCTTGAAAAAGGGGGAATGGCTACTCTTAAGAGCTGTAATTCCTAAACCCTAAACCCATCCTCCATTTTGGATGTACATACCCTCAATTATATAACTATAGCTTGAATATGTTTTGGTAAATACCTGAAAAAACAAAAATTGTGCCTTTGTCCAAATATACAGGTGAAACTCGAAAAATTAGAATATCGTGCAAAAGTTCATTTATTTCAGTGATGCAACTTAAAAGATGAAACTAATAATATATGAGATAGACTCATTACATGGAAAGCAAGATAGTTCAAGCCATGATTTGTCATAATTGTGATGATTATGGCTTACAGCTCATGAAAACCCCAAATCCACAATCTCAGAAAAATAGAATATTGTGAAAAGGTGCAATATTCTAGGCTCAAAGTTTCCCACTCTAATCAGCTAACTAAGCCTTAACATCTGCAAAGGGTTCCTGAGCCTTTAAATGGTCTCTGTCTGGTTCAGTAGGAATCATAATCATGGGAAAGACTGCTGACCTGACAGTTGTGCTCCCCATCTCTCTCCTTTTATATTAAACAGGTTTCACAACAAGATATATATATATATATATATATATATATATATATCGTATTTTTCGCTCCATAAGACGCACTTTTTCCCCCCAAAAGAAGGGGGGGGAAATGTCAGTGCGTCTTATGGAGCGAATGTAAAGCGACCGGTCTGGTATTTCTGCCGCCACCATGTCAGGATACCGGGCCGGCCGCTCAGCTCTTCTCTCCTGCAGGACCTTACCTGTTCCTCGGTCCAGCGCTGCAGCCTTCCCGCTGCGGCTTCTGTGACAGCCGGGGGCCCACTGCGCATGCGCGAGAAGCGCTGCACTTTGTGAATGGTCCGGCGTCTTCTGGGACACATGACAGGTCCCAGAAGGCTCCGTGCCATTCACAAAGCCCAGCGCTTCTCGCGCATGCGCAGTGGGCACCGGCTGTCACAGAAGCCGCCGCGGGAAGAAGGAAGGGCAACTCCGCGGAAGTGGGAGCGGGTACCTGTCAAATTCAGGTACCCGATCCCCCTCCCTCCCCAAAGGTCCGCAGTCTCTGGTAATCTCCTTTAATGTCTGCAGTCTCTGGTCATCCCCTGCACTGTTTGCAGTCTCTGGTCATCTGTACTGTGTCCGCAGTCTCTGGTCATCTCCTGTGCTATGTCTGCAGTCCCTGGTCATCTCCTGTAGTGTGTCCACAGTACTTGGTCATCTCCTGTAGTGTGTCCGCAGTCTCTGGTTATCTCCTGTACTGTGTCCGCAGTTTCTGGTCATCCCCTGCACTGTCTGCAGTCTCTGGTCATCTCCTGTACTGTGTTCGCAGTCTCTGGTCATTCCCTGTACTGTGTCCGCAGTCTCTGGTCATTCCCTGTACTGTGTCCGCAGTCTCTGGTCATCTCCTGTACTGTGTCCGCAGTCTCTGGTCATCTCCTGTACTGTGTCCGCAGTCTCTGGTCATCTCCTGTACTGTGCCCGCAGTCTCTGGTCATCTCCTGTACTGTGCCCGCAGTCTCTGGTCATCTCCTGTACTGTGCCCGCAGTCTCTGGTCATCTCCTGTACTGTGCCCGCAGTCTCTGGTCATCTCCTGTACTGTGCCCGCAGTCTCTGGTCATCCCCTGTACTGTGCCCGCAGTCTCTGGTCATCTCCTGCACTGTGCCCGCAGTCTCTGGTCATCTCCTGCACTGTGTCCGCAGTCTCTGGTCATCTCCTGCACTGTGTCCGCAGTCTCTGGTCATCTCCTGTACTGTGTCCGCAGTCTCTGGTCATCTCCTGTACTGTGTCCGCAGTCTCTGGTCATCTCCTGTACTGTGTCCGCAGTCTCTGGTCATCTCCTGTACTGTGTCCGCAGTCTCTGGTCATCTCCTGTACTGTGTCCGCAGTCTCTGGTCATCTCCTGTACTGTGTCCGCAGTCTCTGGTCATCTCCTGTACTGTGTCCGCAGTCTCTGGTCATCACCTGTACTGTGTTTGCAGTCTCTGGTCATCACCTGTACTGTGTCCGCAGTCTCTGGTCATCTCCTGTACTGTGTCCGCAGTCTCTGGTCATCTCCTGTACTGTGTCCGCAGTCTCTGGTCATCTCCTGTACTGTGTCCGCAGTCTCTGGTCATCCCCTGTACTGTGTCCGCAGTCTCTGGTCATCCCCTGTACTGTGTCCGCAGTCTCTGGTCATCCCCTGTACTGTGTCCGCAGTCTCTGGTCATCCCCTGTACTGTGTCCGCAGTCTCTGGTCATCCCCTGTACTGTGTGTCCGCAGTCTCTGGTCATCCCCTGTACTGTGTCCGCAGTCTCTGGTCATCCCCTGTACTGTGTCCGCAGTCTCTGGTCATCCCCTGTACTGTGTCCGCAGCAGTCTCTGGTCATCCCCTGTACTGTGTCCGCAGTCTCGGCCATGTCCTGTAATCTCCTGTGTCTGCAGTCCATTGGTTCAGAATATTTTTTTTCTTGTTTTTCTCCTCTAAAACCTAGGCGCGTCTTATGGTCAGGTGCGTCTTTTGGAGCGAAAAATACAGTGTGTGTGTATGTGTGTATATATATATATATATATATATATACATACACACATACTTTTTTTTTTTTTTTTAGATTTTTCCTAGAATCATATTTAATTTTTTTCATCACTGCAGTTGAAAATGAATGTTGATTTGAAGATCAGGCAAATGTTTAAAAATTAAAGTTCCTATGCAAGTTACTAATGTATAGCCAGCTTTATTCACCTTGGCATTGAAGTCTCTAAGAATTGAAAGAAGCTTGTGATTAACGCAGTTCAGTAGCTCCCACCAGCAACTGAACTACTGATTATACATACAATTTGTAAATAATTGCTGAGGTCCTAAATGTAATTGTTTTCTTCTTTCAGGTTATGTTCACCGGTGATAATATCCCTGTCCATCCTCATGTTTATAGCAATGGTCATATCTGTTTATCTATTTTAACGGAGGACTGGTCTCCTGCACTATCAGTGCAATCCGTGTGTCTTAGCATAATCAGCATGCTATCTAGCTGCAAAGAAAAGGTAAAAGCCACGAGCAAGTCAACATTTAGTTATTTTGGTTTTCCTTTTTTTAAATCTTTCAAGCTTCATTTATTTTGAATAAGCACTTGAGCATTGGTCATTTTCTCCCCACTAATTCCAAAGCATTTTGTTTGGCAATACCTCTGCTCCACGTTATACCTTTTAGCGTTTGTAGTCTATTCTAACCTATTATACACTGTTTTTTTTTTTGTTTTGGGGGGGGGCAGATAGGGTTTTACTTTGGTAGAAAATTTTGATAAATATATACAGCAGGTAAAATTAGTTGAACATGTCATTTTGAAGTTTTAAAGTTTGCTGCACAACATTCAGACAAGCCTGTGAAATACTGGGAGAATATAGTCTGGTCAGATGAGACCAAAACGGAACTCTTTGGATGCCATAATACACACCATGTTTGGAGGTCAAATGGCACTGCACATCACCACAAAACACCATCCCAACAGTGACGTTTGGAGGTAGGAACATCATGGTGTGGGGCTGTTTTTCAGCATATGGTACTGGCAAACCTCATATCTTTGAAGGAAGGATGAATGGAAAAATGTACCAAGAGATTCTTGATATAAATCTGCTGTCATCTACCAGGATATTGAAGATGAAACTAGGATGGACATTTCAGCAGGACAATGATCACCAACACAAAGCCAAAATAATTGGTTTCAAAGAAAATAAAGCTGCTAGAATGGCCCTGCCAATCACCTGACTTGAATCCAATAGAAAATCTATGGAAAGAACTAAAGATCAGAGTTCATAGAAGAGGCCTACGGAACCTTCTAGATTTGAAGACTGTGTGGTTACCAACAAAGCATTTTGTGCGACGTAGTAAATAAATTTCTGTTAGCGTGTTCAATACTTTTTTCCCTGTGTCATTACATTTTATTACACATAACTTAGTTTCTGAACTTATTTGTTTTGGATTCTTTGCATGTATGGATTGCATGGATTGTTACCGACGTGGTCATATCAATTTCATGTCAATAGCACCTTTAGAAATATATTTACTGAGGATGGTGATGTGTTTAATGCTTATTTTACCCGCTGTATTTTATTTTCTTGTGTTTTTAATAAGGATTAAAAATAATCAGTGTTGAGGGTGTAGTTCCGCTTTTACTTACCGCTCTGAGTCTCCCATAGCTCTCCGTGGCCCCTCTTCCACTTTGTCCAAGGAAGAGTACCCTGAATCTATGCTATATTTTATGGGGCAGCTTGCAAATCTGTTGCTGACTCTGACCACAGAGGCTAGTTCTATGCCTTCTCCTTTTTGATCTTACAGAAGGATAAAGTGTTGAGGCTTATATCTTCTTTTCCTTCAAAGGTGCTATTAGCAATACAAATGATAGTTATTTTTGACAATTCTACATAAGCTTACTTGAAACATCTTCCTTCATGTTGGGAGTTCTGCCTGTCTGCTGGCCCTTTCTTTCCACAACTTCCTGGATTCTCTGCATGCTTTTCAGCTTCTTCTTTGCTAATTGCTTTTGATTTTGAAGGACTACATATCCCAAGATACCTTGCTCTCTGCAAGCAGTGGTTCCTAAACTGACTCCTGCAGCTCCTCCTCTCAGCACCCTGTAGTTCATAAGGCTGGCACTGGTAAATGTACGGTACAGCAATACCTACTTTCAGAGCATAGTGAATACGTGTCATAGAATTCAAGGAAGTAAATTTATGGGGTTCTTCACAAAGTAAGTTAGCAAATTTCAAGATCATTCAGATTAACCCTTTTCTGCCACCAACGTAAGGCATATGGTGGCACAGAACTGCTCCCAGCTGGGCATTTCAGTATGCCGTTGACAGCAGTCGCCATTCTGCTATAAACTTCTGATCACACTTTAGTGACTACAAACGTAAAGCAGAACTATTCCCCAATCTCTGCCGGTTAAAAACAGTAGTTTTGATCAGTGGCTACCACTGCCCGCACTGTGCCACTTGCCCCTGTCTTAATGCAGGTTGTGTTCCTGTGTGTTCCCCTCTGCCTGGGTTTCCCCCCACCAGTGTAATTTCCTGTCAGCGTTCCTAGATTCTACTCTCCCTCCCCACTGGCTGTCAGTGGCTTCAGGCACATGATGGATTTTATTTCAGGATATACAATTGAATATGTCAGTACTGCAAATGCATGTAATATTTCCCATTTGCAGTGCGAGCAGAAAGCAATTTCTGCCATATAAATAGAAAAAATGTTAAAAATATACACTGACTCTATATAGCAGCCATTCCAGGAGGCACAAACCATTTCTAACTCCTTTCAAAGGCATGAGCTTTGTGGATGCCTTTTCTGCATTGGCATCCAACAACACGCATGCCCGCAGGGCCGCGCTGTGGAGCGATCTGTCACTGGCCGTGTACCTCGGACATGACCGATGACAGATCTGTGTAACGGCCCCATTGCCAGTACCATGTGACCTGCTTTGACCAATCACATCAGGTCACATGACAGTTAAATACAATAGATGGCTTCCTTTTATGCCATCCATTGTATACAAGTGTGTCTAGCTGTGAATGGTCACAGCGATCACATGCACAAGCTGGGCCAATCACAGCCCAGCTTTGTCATGTGATTTAGTCGTGGCCAAATCACAGCTAAGCACAAAAAAAAAACCCTGAATGAATCGATTTCATTCAGTTAAATGCTTGCTTGTAGCAAGTAATTCTTTGCTATAAGCAAAAGAAAAAAAAAAATACTGATCACTTCCCCAAAGTAGTGTACAGTGTTATTATGGTAACATTATACTGCTTTGGTCATAGTGAAATAGAAAAAAAAAATCTTAAAAGAGAAAAAAAGTAATAAAAATTTTTTAAAAAAAAAAATTAACAATTTTTTTTTTCGTACTGTCATCAGTCAGTGTCCTTGATCACGGCCATGCTAGTTATATGATGACGCTGTACTGCACTGATGACAGTTTGTAAAAAAAAAAAAAAAATAGTGAAAAAATAATTTTTTTAATTCATTTTTCGAAAAATTATGACAAAATTACAACTTCAAAAAACTCGCCATGCCTCTTATGAAGTATGTTGGACTGTCTACTTTGCAAAAAGGGGTCATTTGGGGGATATCTGTACTGTTCTGACATTCTTGAACCTCAAGAAATTAGATTGGCCGTCAGTACTTCAGGATTGATCAATTTTCAGATATATCCCATAGTTTGTGAACTCTATAACTTTCCTACAGACTAAATAATAAATACTAATTTGGGTTATTTTCACCAAAGACATGTAGCAGAATACATCTTGGCCTAAATTTATGAAGAACAATTATTTATTTGCAAACTTTTATAACAAAGAAAAACGTGTTGTGTTTTTTTTTTTTTTTTTTTTTTTTCAAAATTTTCGGGTTTTTTTTGTTAATTTTAGCAAAAATAAAAACCCCAGCGGTGATAAAATACCACCAAAAGAGAGCTCTAGTTGTGTGAAGAAAATTATAAAATTTTAGTTTGGGTACAATGTTGTATGACCGCGTAATTGTCATTCAAAGTGTGAGAGCGCTGAAAATTGGCCTGGGCAGGAAGGGAGTAAAAGTGTCCTATGGAAGTGGTTAAACAAACTAACTATCCAATGGTTTTTAACCTTTCAAAACATAATACATTTGACCAAAAACCAATTTAGTTTCCCTTTTAGGCAGAGCAAACAAATAATGCTTTTGCTACTTTAGGCCTGCGTCAGGAAGCATCTGGGCTCATTACATAACAATTTAATATCAGTCTTGTTATAGTGACAGCATTTTATAATGCGGGCAGGTTTGTTTTATTATCTGCATAAAGATCAAATTGAGGTCATTTCATTCTTGTCTCAGTAATGTAACCTAGATTTTACCCACATAGCCTCAGAACACTTGTCTCAGCCAGCACTTACTTATCAGCAAACATATCCTTATTGTAGTATGAAATATCTACCAGCATATACTTTAGTTAAGGATCTTCTAGTGGGATAGTCATATTACTTTGCCCTCTTATAACCAGGGATCTTTGACACCTAGATGTCAAACCAAATTTCAAAGCATCTGTATGTGCCAGTTAACGTCACAATAACTCTTTAATTTACTTACTAACAATATTGTAATTTTTTTTAAAGGCATATACAGATTTTATTTTGTTCACTGTTTAATAAATTCCCTGCTTAATTTTTTAGTTTTAAGTTGTCAAATGAACAAAAATATTTTGCCATTACACTTAAAATAGTTGAAAGGGAGAAAGTTTTTCACCTAAATGTTTTCTCTGCATTAAGGTGAAAAAACCTTCTGTGTTCAACCCCCCTCAGCTGATCGATCTCGATCCAGTGTTGATCCCACCCAAGAGCAGAGGCTCTCACTTCTCCCTTTCTCTTCACTGGACCTGGATACAGGAATCATTGGCTGTCAATCAATCACAGCTTGTGGAGAGAGAGCGGGTGGTGGGAATTAGCCGTGCTGTGTGTGTCAATGGACACACACAGTCTGGTTTAGGATCAAGCCTGCATGAGTGTCCCCATAGCAAGCAGCTTGTTATGGGGCATTTGCAAGGGGGGAGATGCCATGAGCACTGGCGAAGGAACCCAGAAGAGTTAAGTATGACCTGTTTGTTATTTTAAAAAAATATACCTTTACAGTCACTTTACCAGCTAGTAAGAATGTTTTAAAGTTTTTTTTTTTTTTTATTATTTTTTGTTATGGGTATTTTCACTCAAATGCTGCAACATGCTGGATGCAGTTATCAATGTGACTCCCTATGACAGGCACAATGACGGCTGAGCTGGCAGTTTTGTACTGTAAGCAAACCCACATGATCACTATGATTGGTTTTCGTGATGATCACATGATGGAAAACTAATCAAGGTGGTTTCTGATCTGCAGCATTAGACCATCACTGTGAACTGGTAGTCCACACTGTTTGTCCAATACGGGAATGCAATCTACAGAAAACAGGTGCAAGCAAAAACATTAAAACTAAAAAGCATCTTAAATTTAGTTGGTTTGTACTATAGAGACAGACATTACAAGTACTAAGTAAGAATTTACAAACTATAGAATTGCTATTTTTTAGCAAAAAAGGTGGATTCTCTTTTTGGCTGTATTCGACATGGTTATTTTTATTCATTGTAGTATTTCATGTGTTTTTTTTTTCCTTAGAGAAGACCTCCAGATAATTCCTTTTATGTAAGAACGTGCAACAAAAATCCAAAGAAAACAAAATGGTGGTACCATGGTAAGTGTTTACATCATAATCTCTTTATTAAAAAAAACACACAAATGCCTTTTTGCTTGAATGTTTTTATTAGAATTTTTAAAAATGATAAATATTACCTTTTTTGGGCTTAGTATCTAAGAATAAATGACATTTTATTTTTGAGCCAGCAGGTTGCACTCTAGGTTTCTTTTCTCATATTTACCAGATTAACCTTAACTGTTTTGCTTAGGAAAAAAAACACATTTTTACAGAGCCCAGACAATAACGTTGTGATTACACTCGGCTAATTGAAACCACCTTCCCTGCTCTGCATACAGATTTACGCCAGCCATACATGGATCTGAATCTGGCCAGTAGGGACCAATTGAATTTCAATCCATGTATGGGCAGGCTGGTTGTGCAGAATTTGAACTACCTACTAACTTCTGTACAACCAGCCTGTCAGATTTTCCCTGCTTGTTCTGTGCCACTGGCTGTAGCCTGCAACGCTGATCAGTGTATTCTGATGGCAGGGAAATCTCCCCACTGTCAAAATACAATAGATCAGCACGGAGGATTCCCCCATCCACACAATTGATGTCTTTTTTTTTTTCGTTCAATCCGCTTGTTAAAAGAAAAAAAATGACTTGCCTATGGCCTGCTTTAGTCTTAAAGCAAATGGTTAATACTTTGTTGTTTCTTCAGAAAATGAACGCCACACGTAAAACCGTGTAATGGTTGTACCGTGTGTGAATTATTTGTGTAAATAAGTAAAAAACTAGGTTTATGCCCATTTTTTAAGCTGCTTACTTTTGTTATGCAAGTTAACTGACCCCCCCCCCCACCAAGACATCCAATATAATTGGAGTAGATTAGATCACGGTGATACTGCAGGAAGTGTGTTGTCTGTGGCCCCCCATTATTGCCAGTTGTGGTGTGCTGAGGATTTGGTGTTCACAGTTTCTGATGATCAAGCTCTGTTCCCCTGATGGTATTGTGAATCACTGACCCAGCACAAGTTTGCAGAGTTCTGATTTCATGTGCTGCATGCTTATTCTGCATCAGTGGTTCTGAGTATTAAAGTCAGACACAGCAAAGGAAATGGCATTTGCAGAAGGTGGTCAAAAATGGAAACCTCTGAATTTTTGACAGGTTTCCCTTAAAGCAGAGCTGCTCAACCTGTGAACCGCAGAACACCTGTGACCCTCGAGCCCCCGCAGAACACATGTGGCTCTTGACCTCAAACTGGGGAAATGCATGCGTGGTTTGGCAACCCGTTGATCGTGATCTGGGCTTGCTTACCCACCATCCCAGAGTGCAATGAACTGGCCGTGGACTGAGCAGGAGCCACATAAGCTGATGCTTCCTCGGTAGTGCCGGCTCCTGTCCCAGGCAGAGTGATACCAAGTGCACTTCACCTGGGATCTTTCTAGCAGCCTGGAGAGCAAAGCCAGCAGAAGCTGGAAGTAGGTAAAAAAAGGTGAATGTATTAAACAACACTTACACTGCGCATTTTCATATTAGCACTTCTAAAAGGGTTAACAACTATTAGACTGCTTTCACACTGGTCCACGTGTTCAGCGCAGTGCATCTGTGGCTTTGCTGCGAGTTAGCTGCACAGAGCCATAGACATTTATTATATGCTGAGGTTTTGGTGCACCTTCTGAAAGAGCACCCAAATTCCTGAATGCAAGAGTTTTGGTGTGCTTTCAGAAAGTGCACCACACCTGCAATATTTAATAGAAGACTATGGCAAAGTGCAACTAACCTGCAGGAAAGCCGCAGGCATGCTGCGCTGCACCCGCAGTGCGGGTAAACTGCAGCGCATCAGTGTGAAAGCAGCCTTATAGGGGGCTCAGGAGAGTAAGGGCTTGTTTACATTTGTGATTTGGGGGGAAGGGCGGCGGTAAATTCCCATAATTGAAATGTGGTTTTACCACACCTCTCCCCAACTACTAGTGTAGCGTCAGGGGTTGCAGTGCTGACACCACCCCATGCTTCATGGGGGCTCCTGCGGGCCTCCCTGTCACATTTTGTTTTAAACTTGGACAGGAAGGGTTACATATACAGGAACTAATTCTCTCCATTTTCCTCCTGCATCCGCTGAAATCCGGCTTCTCCTCTCGGCATTTAGCAGCTGCAGGAGGAAAATCTTCATTATGCTATTAACCGCTTGCCGCCCTGCCACTGTGTATATACGTGTGCAGGGCGGCAGTGGAGCGCAAAACCACGTTTAAAAAAACGGGTTCCGCGCTCCCGACACTTTCGCCGGCAGGGGGCGCGCGCGCGCGCTCCCGCCGACCCGCGGGGGTGACACGATTTGATCCAGGAGGGATCAATCATTAGATTTCAGCCAGTGATTTCTGGCTGAAATCACATGATCGGTCCCTGTCCTATCCTGTCCTGTGTTGACATACACACAGGGCAGGATATGATGTCATTCTTCTCTGCCTGGACACATTCCGTTCCAGACAGAGAAGAAGACATCCAAAAAGTGAGTACACAAGCACTACACTACAGTTAGAACACTCTAGGACACATTTAACCCTCTGATCGCGCCCCCCCCCCCCCTCCCCCCCAGTTAACCCTTCACTGCCCTGTCACCAGTGTCACTGATCAGTGAAGCGATTTTTTACTGATCAGTGTCGCTGGCAACTTCTGATAGAGTTAGCGCCCCTCTCAGATAGCGCCAGATTGCCCGCCAGTACACCAGTAATCCTGTTTAACCCCTTGATCGCCCCCCCCCCCCTCCAGTTAACCCCTTCACTGCCCTGTCACCAGTGTCACTGATCAGTGAACCAATTTTTACTGATCACTGCATCAGTGTCGCTGGCGACTTCCGATTTAGTTAGCGCCCCTCCCAGATAGCGCCAGTTTGCCCACCAGTACACCAGTAATCCCGTTTAACCCCTTGATCGCCCCCCCCCCCAGTTAACCCCTGCACTGCCCTGTCACCAGTGTCACTGATCAGTGAACCAATTTTTACTGATCACTGTATCAGTGTCGCTGGCGACTTCCGATAGAGTTAGCGCCCCTCCCAGATAGCGCCAGATTGCCCGCCAGTACACCAGTAATCCCGTTTAACCCCTTGATCGCCCCCCCCCCCCCCCCCGTTAACCCCTGCACTGCCCTATCACCAGTGTCACTGATCAGTGAACCAATTTTTACTGATCACTGTATCAGTGTCGCTGGCGACTTCTGATAGTGTTAGCGCCCCTCCCAGATAGCGCCAGTTTGCCCGCTAGTGCACCAGAAATCCCATTTAACCCCTTGATCGCCCCCCCCCCCCAGTTAACCCCTTCACTGCCCTGTCACCAGTGTCATTGATTACAGTGAACAGATTTTTACTGATCACTGTATTAGTGTCACTGGTGACTTCCGATAGTGTTAGCGCCCCTCCTAGATAGCGCCAGTTTGCCCGCTAATGCACGGGATTTTTTTTTTTTTTACCAAAAACATGTAGCAGAATACATTTTGGCTTAAATTTATGACTAACTTTGAGTTTACGATATATTTTTTATAGCTGAAAGTAGAAAATATTGATTTTTTTTGTTTATAGCGCAAAAAATAAAAAGCGCACAGGTGATCAAATACCACCAAAAGAAAGCTCTATTTGTGTGAAAAAAAAGACGTAATTTTCGTTTGGGTGCAGCATTGCATGACCGCGCAATTATCATTTGAGTTAGTGCAGCGCTGTATAGCAAAAAAAGGCATAAAGTACAGTATCTATACCATAGTTTGTAGACGCTATAACTTTCACACAAAGCAATCAATATACACTTATTGGGATTTTTTTTTACCAAAAACATGTAGCAGAATACATTTTGGCTTAAATTTTATGACTAACTTTGAGTTTACGATATATTTTTTATAGCTGAAAGTAGAAAATATTGTTTTTTTTTTCAAAATTTTCGTGGTTTTTTTGTTTATAGCGCAAAAAATAAAAAGCGCGCACAGGTGATCAAATACCACCAAAAGAAAGCTCTATTTGTGTGAAAAAAAGGACGTAATTTTCGTTTGGGTGCAGCATTGCATGACCGCGCAATTATCATTTGAGTTAGTGCAGCGCTGTATAGCAAAAAAAGGCATAAATTACAGTATCTATACCATAGTTTGTAGACGCTATAACTTTCACACAAAGCAATCAATATGCACTTATTGGGATTTTTTTTTACCAAAAACATGTAGCAGAATACATTTTGGCTTAAATTTATGACTAACTTTGAGTTTACTATATATTTTTTATAGCTGAAAGTAGAAAATATTGTTTTTTTTTTTTTTTTTCCAAATTTTCGTGGTTTTTTTTTGTTTATAGCGCAAAAAATAAAAAGTGCACAGGTGATCAAATACCACCAAAAGAAAGCTCTATTTGTGTGAAAAAAGGACGTAATTTTCGTTTGGGTACAGCATTGCATGACCGCGCAATTATCATTTGAATTAGTGCAGAGCCAAACAGCAAAAAAAGGCCTGGTCATTAAGGGGGGTAAATCCTCTGGGGCTCAAGTGGTTAATATAAAAAATTTGCAATTTTGAACCATTTAATTTCATGTCATTGTGGCATGCCACCAGTTACCAAATCACTTAAGGTTGCGCACTCCTACTTTAAAAGAGAAGTATGGGAATATTTTTTTGCCCCCATATTATACTTACCTAGGTGAATGCAGCATCGATCTCCCTTTGGCTCTAAGTGTGAGAACTCAGCGATCACATGACCGCTGAGTTCTCACATCCATTGTGAGCTGAGAGAGGTGCCTGTCTGCTCAGCCCCCTTCTATTATGCATGCAAGTTTCCCAGTATGGAAAGAGAGATGTGAACAGAAGCTCTGCAGTCACGTGTCCACAGAATAAAACATTTAAAAAAAGCTACAGAACTTTTAACATTTAAAAAGAAATTGAGATTTTAGTTAGGGAATCATTTTTGCTGTGTTAGAATTTATTTGTGCAGTTGTAGAATGTTAGAATATTTTTATTATTGTCAGTATCCTGGTTGCAGATTTTCCTCACTTATCTGGTAAAACATTGTCTTCAGAACGTAAGGGTTCTAACATTTATGCCCATAACAAAAAAAAAAAAAGCTATGTCAAAGATGCACTTTAAAGCAACATTGTTTCAAACAAAAAAATAAATAGTTATTGCTCCTTTTTCACCAGTT